CTTGTGAACAAAAGATGTCCACACGATGCAGGAAAGGAAGACGTTCTGTGGACTTACATGTACATTGTACACATGTTCACTGGACGTTTCCCCTTCTCTGAAAAAGGGGTTTAGAGGCATTTTGGGGCAGGGGTCGTAAAAGGAACAACACTAGTCAAGAAAACCTTGTACAAAAAGCCAGGTGAAAATCGTGTTCCCAGTTCAAGAAAAACAAGTATTTTCACTGAGTTTTCTTAACTACATGGGGAACGTCCACAGTCCTGAATGTACATGTAAGGTACATGTACAATGTAAATGGTACAGTGTGTGTGCATGTTAATGGCCAGAAAGGCTCAGGCTGGCCACCATACTATGCATGAACCATGTCGAAAATTTCTCTTCACTGGAAGATCACAACAAAGATGTTGTTTTTTTTCTCAAAATAAATACATGAAAACGGAAAATACATGAGATACACAGACAGACAGTTTTTAGTGAAATCTTCATGAACAATTCACAGGTAAAGGATTCAATTCTCAAACAAGCGAAGATGGAGGACTGTTTAGGTTAAAATATTTGGCTACTTTTAAATTATAGCATCAGTATACATGTGTAATTGATCTGGATATTATGACAAAACTTCTCTATCTACCAGTACATGTACATGTATTTCTAAAAAAGTCCCAAACTGTAGTGCCACCAAATCCGCGCCCATCCTCAACAACGGAAATCTCAAATACATGTATAGGGTGGGCAGTGCTTTTTTCAGTCTCAGTATTTTGGACACCGCCCTCAAGAGTTGGTGAAAGTTGATCGAGGTTGTCATTAGTTCTGTATTGGACGTCCAGCACTGATCGTGAGCGAACAGTGATCATTTTATCCATTTTCTAGATATTGGTAATTTCAACCTGTTCATTTTTGTATTTAGTCTGTGAAGTCAAACTCTATGCTCTGCAGCCATTATCCCTGAATTCCTACTAAAAAGCTTTCAATTTGCGCATACCGGTATCTGTAAAAAGAAAAACGTCGAAATGACGATTGACCATCGACAGTAAATTATCGTTGGTGCATAATTTCATTTAGGAGTTTCAAGACGAGAAAGCAACACCTGTACATACAAAAAGTACACGTAATGGACACTTCTTGTCCTAAACACTAGTGAAAAAACGCTAAATCTACTACATGTGCATATACGTGTACAAATATTTGAAGAAATTGGTCCAATGAGGAACTGGATATGCTCGTAAACACTTTAGCAAAGACCAAGAAATGAAGCAATGTACATGTACATGTACATTTTCTGGCTTGCCACTTACATGTGTGAGGGGTGAGATTGGAAGAAAATGAAATATCCACAGTAATCACCGTAGGTTTGGGGGGCCCACAGTAGTGTGGGGTCTAATGTGTTTGCCTAAAGGAACTCCTTAAAGTAAACAATTTCTTGTTTTCTCTCATAAACACGTACACATGTACATAAAGATTTATGCATAAAACCATCTTATTAACCCTAACCCTGCTAAATGCACCAGAATGCACCAGAGGTACATGTAAAACGTTGTTGCAAGTTGGTGCATTTAGCAGGCAACACAAGTCTTCTGGTGGTATGCATTCTGGTGCATTTAGCAGGCTTGGTGTTTACGCCCTAGCAACTAGTGCACCATAATGCACTGGTGCAATCCGGTGCATTTAGCAGGGTAGCTAGTGGTACCGAGAGTGACATAAATTAGTTCACTGCACAATATACTGGTGCATTGTGCAGGGTACCCATTTGGGGTTTGGTACATTCTGGTGCATTTAGCAGGATCTTTGGCAAATACCCCTTGGGGGTTAGGGTTAATGGTAAACTCAAGATTTTCCAGATACAAATAGATTGTCTTAAAATCCTGAAATTAGGAAAATCACGATGAAAAAGCCCGGAACTGGAACATTCTGACAAATCCTACCCCTGATAATTCTATGTGAAACTGCAGTTACTAATTAAATACCCAGGTACGCACTAAAGCAGAAACTACTAAATTGTGGGGTTAATTTTGTAGTGTGAAACCTCTTCTCTAAGTAACATATAGTTTCTACCCTGGTATGGACAACTTCCCGAGTAAATCAATTACCCAGGTTAGTCCAGAGTAACTTAAAAACCTTTTAACATTGCTGAGTTCAGACATGTACGTACCACACATCATGGGACAAGTGTACAGTATGTACATGTTGATCTGCTCCTACCTCTACCAATTATCATTCTTACAATGCTGCAGTGGAAATCATTATATTGCACAACTACAAATCGCTGCCATACTATAAACATTACTAGTACATGTACCAGGACATGTACATACCTGTACATGTATTTATGGTCCCCATCATGTTTGTAGTAAATTGTACATTTTGTTAACTCTGGACTGGATAAAAGTCCTAAGCAACTAGTGAGAAAAAAATGTCACTGCAAAAAAGTCTGAATAAAAGTTGGGTTAATATTTCAAAATCTGTCAACTGGACCCTGATGAGGCACGGTAAAATACTGTACAAAACAGTTTTTCATAAAAGGAATATTTATTATCTAAAAACACATTAAATCACAACAAACTGTTTAGAAACTGTAGCAAGTGCTGTTGGAAGAGGCGGCTAAAAACAACAGCAAAAACAAAAGTTCAAAAAAGGTAGTCAGTTTAGAGTGAGTGATTAATGCAAACTCTAATTTAAGACATTTCTGTAATTTGATCTGCAATGCTCACATCAATGTACAATGTACATGTACCTTGGTGACTGCTGAATCCCACGCCATATTCCTCAAAGTTAAAAATGTTCTGGTAAGCCATGGCACCAGACTTATGCATCCACACATGTAATCATTGGCTCAACAACCAGTCTGAAGATGAAAACATCCCAGCAGCCAGTGTGGTCTGACACAACGCTAACTAGTACCTCGTGGTGACAGTGGGCAGACTTGACAAATCCAGGAGAGTTGTACACTACATGTAGGTGTAGCAATACTGGATTCCTGATGTCTCACTCGGTTACTAGCTGAGACACAAGCTCACCCCCATGCCTACATGTACACATGTACATCAATTTGGCTGGTTACACTACGCGTCCATTTCATTTATTTCACTCCACTGTGTATCTGTACTCCACTGACCACACATGTACCAAACATGTAGCTGGCAACACTATAGGCTCTTCCTTTGATCGCCTTTATGCAGGGGACCAATAAACTAGCCCCACTATCACAGGCAGATGATTGTGTTATACAAGCCCCTCACAATACCCTCAACAACACAATGACTACATGTTCTAATACAACAAGCAACCCAACTGCAGTCAATGGAAGATGTACATACACAGTCCCTCCAATATCAAAATGGTAAAAAAAAAAGGGGGGCTGTACGTACAGTCAGACTACACAGGGAAACACTCAAATTGACACAAAGAGGCTTTCCTCTTTTTAATACCAGTCCATGCCCGGGAACCATACAGCCTACTATCTCCCCATGTACATGTGCATGTATATATTGTTTATTCATTAGTTCAGGGAGGGGACAAATACCCACAGCTGGCTGAAGCAAAAATTCTCCCACGCTCTAGGAGTAAGTGGCTTCTCCATGCCTGTTCAAGGGCCACTGACTCCTGCTTTTACTACATACAGTGAATGGCATCCTGATGGGGAGGCCCTGCACCATGAATATATCAAACATGTGCCTGACTAAGCTTGGTGATTGGACAATGGAGAACAAAAAGAGGAGGGTCTTATTACTGGATTATTGCTGTTAAGTTTTTAGATTTTGCCTTTTCATACTACAAAGGAACAGGTTAAACTTGCACAAGTCTGTCCATTTTATTGAGATTCAGAAAGTGGGCTTTATGAATGAAATACCAGTACTTCCTCCAGTTGCCACAGACTGTATGTATGCATGGAGGTAATGCATGTTACTTGTCCATGTACATGGGTATGTACTGTACATTGTAAGTGCCAAATACAGTACTGTAAATGTACCGTAGAGTAAAAGTACATATACATGTATGATACCATACATGTACATGTACATGTGCACAAGTACATGTACATGTGAATACTACTGAATGTCTCGGTAGTGTGTATTTTCTAAATTCTTATGTGACAAGGCACTGAATGTCTGGAAAAGTCCATTTCAAGAAACCTCTTTTGTAACCTGTCCAAATTACGCCGTGTTTGCCCACACATTTATGAATGGTACAATTGTACATGTACATGTATGCACTAATAAGTAATATTATTTTCTGACCTTTTATCCAACAGTATCAGTTCTTTCTGTGGACTTACCAGTAACTCTGGGCAAAATCTTTTCTTATTGTAACATGCTACATACATGTACATGTACCAGCAAATAAGGTACAGTGAACCGGTACTTGGTCTCTGCACACTACACACTGGTAACAGTAAATTTACATTCATCCATTGCAATCATTCACCAGTATGGATGTAAATGCAAGTAATAAGCTTTTGCTCTTGGCAGTTTATTTTCTAACATTATTGTGTACATGAACGTCAGCGAAAAAGATACACCCAAGGCATGAATACGGCCCTTATATCACTGAAATGTACATTGTACATGTACATGTTCATGGTACTCGACCTGAAGTGATCCATATAATTAGACCAAATTAATACCATGGTCATGCTCCACATACATGTACATGTACTTACAGTTAAAATCTCACAACTAGCCTAGGCAGTGCTGGTTTTCCTTATTCTGATTGACTACTTGCACTTACTATTTTTTTTACCTGTACCGGTGTACATGTGGGTGTGTTCAACCACAGGCAAAATACTGAAACCTTGCATCTGACTTGGGTTGAGGCTACTACACAGCAAACTTAACTGGTACCTCACCATGTCACCAATGATTGCAGTTACAATCTCACTCTCTCATTTACATGCACCCTACAGTAGGCGGTGTCAGCTTTCCTTATCTGGTCAAATATGAGTACTCCCCCTTTTACCCTAAAAAATTTAATCGAAAAATGAAAGAAATTTCACAGAAACTTACTTGTGTTTTGAGTTTTGACTTTTGGTTCTCTTGTCTCCTCTGACAATAACACTGTTGTAGAATATCCCAACGCGGGTGCCACACCTGAACCTTTGAGGGCTGATATGCCTCCTGCATTCCCTCCGCCAGCAGCCATCAGGTCATGTGATCTCTTGAGTGAGGCCGACATCCTGTGATGGTCGTGGCCATTGAGGGTGGGCGGGGCACTGCCTCCTCCGCTACTACTATCATTGTTCGCCTGGCCCTGGAGAGGCGGAGCCAGTTCGCCATTGGTTATCTGCAAATCGGTGGCCTGGGAGAGGGAGAGTGCCGCGTCGTAGGCGCTGTGGATGGCTTCCGTCTCCTGGGCCAGGAAGCGCTGCAGCATGTACTGGGTCATTACAACCAACTAATCACAGTAGCGGCATAATCATGTGCACAGTTAATCCCTGGGATGAGTCAAGGGACAAGATCAGTCCAACATATACAGAAGTCTTGGAACTAGATTGATCCAAGAGTTTTCACAACTGGACTAATTCAATATTTCCAGAAGTCAAAGGAGCTACGCCAGTCCAAGATTATCAGAAGTCTGGTACATGTAGCTAGATGAGTCTGAAGCAAAAATGAAGCCTTGGAAGCAATATGGCCCACAGCATCAACACACCTTTAAAGTTTCAAACTCTTGTTTCTCTCTATCTGCCGGTTTTTTTTTTCAAATAACGTTTTTCTTTTCAATGACAACACAGATCTTTGTTGACCAAATCTACACATGGTACAACCATCACCATTAACCAGTTGGTTTTCTGTGTCTTAGCCCCCAACATCTGACTAACTTTTTTCCATCCTAGAATAAATTCAACTTGTTGACTGCATTTCAAAGGAACCAGTGCTGCCTTCTCGATTCCAGAAAACTTAATTTAAGACTTCTTAGAACACAGAAACTATGTAGTTTGGATAGCTATACACAGAAAACCCTTTCAGCTCACAACAGCACATTTCAGATTCTCCGTTGTCAGACATTTGGACATCCTCCTGGAAGGCAGTTTAAAAAATGAAGCAGACTCCAACAGCTCCACTGACAGACACCTGTTTTCTGTTCCGCTATTTCCAAGACAGCCAGATCCTGACTGATTTCAATCCAAAGAACTCTCCATAAATCCCAAGATGATTAGGTGTTTCCAACACATATGGTCTACTCCTGTGAACGTTGTCTCTCCAACCCTGCCACCTTTGCAAAGTTTTCACTGAATGACCTTCTCTGATCCAGTTGGCCAAAAGTGTCAAAACCTTTGGAACTCCGATGACACCAGCATGTTACGATCTGTTAAAAAAAGAGACACACAGAAATCAAAAAAACATCTGCAGAACATTTGGAACACAGTGGTACCTGGTACATATTGTACACCAAATATACGTTGTTTCCTGTTAAAAAAAATGTGTGTAAACATTCTATTTTGATGCGTAGAAAGTGTGGCATAGAGGCAGTCCAGAGGGCGGTTTACACTACATGTAAACCTACATGTACTCCCAGCCTCGTAGGAAGAAAGAAGGACAAAGATCAGAAAGAAAAGGCTTGTGTTGTAACCTATACACAGATGTGAAGTTGGTGTAAAATTGAGAGAAGAAAAGTTGGAAATGCGGATAAACATGGAGCAAGCAGTGTGCCTGTATGGTACTGTACATGTAGGTATGATGAATAAAGAACAGCTTCCAGTGTCAAAAAGGACCCCCGTTTCAATAAACCTTTTTGGTGAGTTAAGTTAGAATAAAATCTGGTACACTGACTTCTTTAAATTCACATGAACCTAACGATTTGAGTTTGCCATACTAACAACACTGTTGCTATACCTGTCTGCCTGTACATGTACATGTACCTTGTGATTCCGGGCAAGCTTTTGCTTAGTTTACACAACAGATGCCTTGCATTAGTACAGGTACACTGCTTTCAGTGGTAAGATGGTACAAAGGAACCAGTCCACTCCAGAGATGGTGGCCGCTATGCAAAAGCTTGCCCCAAATCATGAGGTATAGCAACAGTGTCTTTAGTCTAAGGAATTCAAATTGTTATGTTTATGTGCAATCAGATAACCCAGTGTACCAGATAGATTTTATTCATATCCGCAAAAGGCTTATTGTCCACAGTTAGTGATTATCAGCAACTTTTTCAGGCAAAACAACCCCCCCCCCGAAATGCCACAGTCTGGGCTGCAGAGTGACATGACAACAAACCTGTTGAAATATTTCATGAGACCAAGACTACCACAGAGAGGAGCTACCACAGAAGATGTAGGCATTCCAACAACCAACCCTCTTATCTGTACCACCACTGCCCCCCAAACTACCCTAAGGTTGTGGAAGTTCCCAGGGATGGATTGAATCTGCATTTTACACAATAGAAAAAGCAAGATAGCAAGCTATGGTAACAATCAATAACTGCAAGCAAGAGTATACATGTACATCGCGATCTGATCCATAGCTTATCCTGATATCTCATCCCCTGGTAAGGAAAAAAAGATTGAGGATGATACTGCTTTGGAATTGGAACATTTTAAGTTCATGCCGCTGTCAGACAGAACCCACAATTTGAAATATACAGTGTGTGTACTGGTGCAAATTGAACATATACAATTACAAGAGGCCCATGCACAGCCAAACACAATTTTCTAAGCACAAAGAAATGTGCTTACCCAGATACAGTTTCCATGCTATGGGTATCGTTTCTTGTCAGATTTATTGTTAGGTTTCCAGGATGGTTACTGTGCAGAGAATTTGCTAAGCAATTAATTTCAGCTCAATGATGGCACATCCTCCTTTTATCCCATTATCTTAAGTGGCTTAAAGATTAACAGGATAAGGAAGACCACTAAACCTAGGTCTTAATCCAAGCCATGAACACATTGTGGCTTTTGTATTGAATAACTGTTAACTGTAAGCTGGAAGCTGTTAAGCTGGAGTGCCAAGTCTGCCAACAATAGTTAAGATGCACGTCTCTTTCCAAACCTGGTGGAAGGGGGCTGTTAACTGCTAAGAGAAAATGTAATGATGGAACAAAGCAACACCATTACAAAGCAGGCTTTGTCACTGTTGTAAGGCTTCATTTTTGTGGTCACCACTTACATGTAATCCCTGGGAATCACACACAATACATGAACATGGGCATGCACTGGAATAATATGGAACAGAAAGTTGACCACCTTATATTGAGGACAGTCTTGTGATTAGGCATGTTCTGGTTATCGTTCAGAAGTTGAAGCAGTGTTTCCCCTTCCACATCTCCATGGTTGTACCACGGAGCAAGTAGTTGTACCAGAGCTAAGCCTGTAGTCTGTCACAGGGCAGATACAAGGGGCTTGTCACTGCCCCATTCACTCTTGTTTTTTTCTCTCTTCTTTTTCCCTGCTTCTTTTTAAGGAGAAAAATTTTCACCCAGATTAAAACTATGCCCTACTTGCCTCCATGTCTGAAATGCTGGTCATAACTGAATGCAGACAAGTACTCAAGAATGGTACAACATTTTGCATTTTTAAAAAACTTTCTTTACGTGTTCATTTTTGTTTCTTTTATTTGTTTTATTTCTAGGTTTTCCATTTTTCTTTTCTATCTAATTCATTCATGATCCATGCAATTCCAGTAATGGTGCCCAGCCCTTAAAACTTGAGGAGCCTCAGTGCCATCCTAAATAATTTTTAATAGGCAGGTGCAACAAAGTTGAGAAGGAGCAAAAGTACACTGGCAGTGGGATTTTAAAATCAGCATTGATGTTGCATGTGCAATACACGCTGCGTGCAATAAAACTTGCAGGATACATCTTAATGGTGCCACATCATTTTGTAAATCTTACTTGTTAAATGTAAAGTTTGTCTAATTATGCACCTGTCCAGCATTATCAACCGATCGGTGAAACAGGTTAATTCTTAAACATTTAATCACCAATTTATCAAGAAATTCACCACAGAAACAAAGGATAAGGCACAGTCACTTTGTGTGCTTTATCTTCCTCAATATGCAAGTGTCTAGGAACAGCAGACAATATGGGTCAACACAACGTCGTCTGGCTAGGTGGATAATCGGGACTCTTTACTCCCACAAAACAGTGGGACAAAGTATCAGCTGATTGCTGGTATTGGTAATCTCTGGGCCCACAAAGGACTGCAGCTGATAGACCATTATAAGGGGAAATTAATGAACAGAGCAGAACCGCTACTATCTGCTTGTTAGACAAGCAGGCAATGCTGACAAAGAAAAGACTGCGGCTACCTCTCAACAATTAGGGCTTTGGAACTCAAACACTGTTAGTTTTAGGTCTCTCTCCCTTTTCCTTAATCTTCAGAAGGGATCTGAAGATTTTTTTATGATGAGTGTGGTTGTAATGTTTAAAAACCACTTATAGTCGTTCTTGACTTGTAAGGGTTTGAGTGCATGCAAAACGAGGGGTAAGGGCCATTTCACGAGGATGGTGGAAGTACTCATCTGTGCTGTTTGACACTGAGAGTCTGTCGCAACAGTGGTCTGCAGTTTCATCGCAAGCTTTCACACAGTACGGCATGGCACGTCAGCGAACGTTCCGTGGTTTGCAGCATTTACTCGCTGGGGCTGCAGTATTCTTTTAATGGAAAAATTACGAGTACTGGAAGATTTTCCAGCCAAAGAAACTGTTTTTTCCTCTCTTTTTTTCTTAATCTTGGCTCTAATAAAAATCTTTTGAAAGAGGATGCAAGGTTCAATTGGTTTTTTTTTGGGGGGGGGCATTTATGGCTTCTTCGGAGAAGGCCCAAACTTCAGATATCTGGTTTCATGCCCCTCGACTATAAAAACATCATACTAATGCGTGTGCTGAACCAGATGGCAGCAAGACTATTATTAATAGGCAATGTATTTGTGAATTACCATTTTGAATGCAGCCGTGTGCATGCGTAATGGACTTCAACGCACACTACCCTTGTGAAAATCGCATACTTTACATTCATAAAACCGATCCTGATGATAATCACATGCACAATTTTGGAGAAGGTCTGGATCCGTGCGACGATCACACGGGAACCCTTGCGATTTGGTGATATACACCATGTACACTTTCACACAACACTTTACTTCTACGATCATGACGTTGATCTGATTTTATTGCAAGGGACCCCTGTTTTCAACGCTCACGTGAAAGGACTTTTCATTAAACAACTCACATACTGTACAAAAGTGGTGATCTTGACTTCAGAAAACAACCTCTTTACTTCAGAGAACAACCCGTAGGGCATTTGTAGGGTTTCAAGATAAACTGATTCAATACTGAGAGTGAAATTTTAAAAAAGACGTGTGACTTTATCTTTAAAATGTTTTAAATAATTCATTGGGTTTTTGATTAGGAATGCCTACATGTACATGCTGCCACTGCAATACTACCACTGCACTGTGAAGGATTTGGTTCAGACACAGTGCAATGTAATTCGGTGCTATTCAAATGTACAGTACAGGTACATGTAATTCCTTGCTGTTTGAACGTGCAATTCTGTGATTGAATGTATACATGTACATGTAGCTGTAACCCCCGGTAGGATGGATGCAAAGAATAATGTTGCCAAACGGGCGATTACAGGTACATGGTTAAGTTGTATGGAGATGAGCTGGGTTGGGACACACTGTTTCATGTTCACACACTGTTCATGTACATGTATACTGATGTATACATGTATACTCTATACTGATGTTCCAAAATAATCATGGACGTTAAACAACAGAATTAATGACCGTCCACGATTCCCGATATGTCCACGATTGCCAAACATGTACAAAACATATTAGAGGCCTTCCAAAAAAGTTAAAGTATGAACAAAAGAGGACAATAGGAACATCCACGATTGCCCAAAAAACATGTTTATATGGGTGAACACACAGTGTACAGTTAGTCTTGATGCTTTAATGAAGTGCTTGGACTGATGTACATGCACAAATGTACTTCATCCACCTCAAGCAGAAGCACTCCTCATCAACTGTAAAGAGCCATATTGGTAGGGAGCGTTCAAATTGTTGGTAGCGATGCGACCATAATGCTTGTGGACCTGCAAAGTGCAGTTCCGACCAAAAAAGCCTTTGTTGATAAAAAAAATTGCGCCCTCTCTTGTTCCAGCACGAGGTTCATACTTTGCTCACTGCCCAGCGCCCAAACAAGGCACTAGGAAAGGCTGATGGCCTTGCACAGATTTTAGTGAAGGAAATACGTCACACAGGGTCACAGCTAATGATGCGCAGAGCATTGTACTGTAGGTACCAGTAAATTTCTGTCAGGCATGCGAGCTCGTTCAGCACGTTACACAAGCGATAGTTATC